CCCCCCAACCGTCGGGAAAATAAAGATCGAAAAAAAAAACCAGGTAGAAAAACAAAAAACAAACAAGCATAAAACCAGAGCCGGTTGTAACGGAGTACAAGTACTCCGGTACTTGTACTTATATAACAATTTTCGGTACTTTTACTGTACTCAGGTACATTTTTGAGAACCAGTACTTTTACTCTACTCTGATACTTTTTATAAAAGAACTTTTGAGTATTTTTAAAGTATATTTTGAGTACTTTTGAAGCTTAATGAAAGAGTAAGTGCCGGCATTTCTGATCATAATTTACGAAACAAACACGGGGTCGGGCACAGCCGATCAACTAAGAGTTAAAAGTTGAGATCAAAGAACGGCCTGTCGCGTTAAAGATCAGCCACTCTTGTGAATGTGATCACACACGTGTTGTAAAACTCCATGAAACGGTACAATGTTTGCCCCAGACGAGATTACACCGAGGTGTGAACTGACCGATGCGTTTCTTTTCCCCAAACATCGCACTCGCATCAGAGCTCGTCACCTAAACTTACATCACTTGCTGGGTGGGTAGGGCCTACTAGTTCGCTCCAGGCAGGAAAAGGAATGCTTTCCTGACCATTGAAGGCAGTTTTGCTCTATTACTCTATTCCTGAATTTGCGAAACAGTCTGAATTTTAATTGGTGAGGTCACAACGTAATGGTGCATAACGACAAAGGCGGGGGGACTCAATCAGAGATGGACGACTAAAATTTTTGGATAGTTAAAGGGGAGGGGCAACTGGAAAAATGTAGTTGAGACTCAAAATAGGCTAATGAGTGTATGGCATGCCTCATACCACTGTGATTGGTCATCAAGGTTGACCACTCTTTGCTCGCCATATGTCATAAACCCACCCAGGGGTCACGTCAGTTCATGAGTCACTGTAGATTCTTCCTTGGCATCGTCGGCTAAGACCCTGTATTTCCCTTTCTCCCGAGCACTGGGATCTTAGACGGAGACTACTGTAGTAGAGAATCTTTCGTTACACTACACTTACAAGACTTTAGGAAACTAGATGTATTTTGGTTTGCCGTGGGCGCCGTGGACTATACAGTGTGACCAAAATCTGTCCTTCTATCACTATAATCAATTGAAACTGAAACTGAGTTCCCATCTAACAATTTCTTTTAAACTTTTTTTGGTGGTTTTTGCTAGGCTACCTTGATTCCTTGAGGATTTGTTAAAGAAGAATTCAATGCACTTTTCCTTTTCTTTGCTGGCCATTTTCATCAATTTTATGTTTTCTTAAGAGCAACTTTGTCACTACATTTTCCAATTTGGATACTTTTCCTGTAGAACTTTCTGACCTCTTGGACTGACTTACATTTGATCATATTGTCTTGCTCAAACAAGTTCTATTCATAATATCACTTACTCCATAGTTGCGTCTGTTTGTTTGTTGTTTTTTATTCAATTTCACGGACCATTTCCACATTAGTTCAGTGCGTATATATTCAAATAAATGCTATGCATACTGTTTACATTTTTGGTAACAAAAGGCCTTTAAAATTTGTTAAATATACTGATGTTATTCACTATGATGTTTTGCATCAGCACTGAAGTGTTTTAGCATATATATATATATATATATATATATATATATATATATATATATATATTAGCAGAAAGTACTCAAAATGTACTCAAGTACTTTTTAAAAAAGTACTTGCATTTTACAGGAAAGTACTTTTACTGAACTTAAGTCCATATTTTAGATTGTACTTAAATATGTACTTAAGTACCTTTTTAAAAGTATTTTAACAGCTCAGCAAAAAACAAACCCAACCTCTTTACTTTTAGAAAAAAAAAATTATTTTCACTTCTGCTTCACTTTGTCTCTTTCTCACTCGGTGACACCATGTTTATTTGTTATTTTCAAGTGAAGAATATAAGTGTACATTACATACAACTTATATTGCTGTTTCTCTTTTACTTTTCCCTCTTTGTTGTGTTTCAATTTTGCTGGTGTGTTAATTTTTTCTCTCTTGTTATCGTTCTGGTGTGTTTTCTATTTCTTGTGTTTATAGCGTAATGTTATTTACTTTGATGTTGTTCCTACATTTTAAAAATATAAAAGTGTGTTATGAAAAGCGTGCATCCACGAAAACAAAATACTGACACTGCAAGGCAGGCCTCTTGTGTGTGATTCCATAATTTACATGTAACATCCTGTACTTTTTCTTAAATTGCACACGTTTAGGGTTAAAATGGCCAATCTTCAGATAGGTGGACACACCCTTGTTTGTTAATTTTTGTGGTTGTTTATGTGTTGTTCTAATTTTGATTTTATTCTGTTGTGAAACCTTTATTTTTCACTTTTTTACACTGCGTGTGGCTACAAATGATATTCGGGATGCTTAAAACAAAGCACAAGAAATTTGGTACTTTAGATTAAGTTACACCTTTATCAACACGTTGCTAGACCTATGCGTCGTCACAAAGAGTTGAAAGTTTGAAAAGCATTGGCAACTTTTATGGCAACTTTTGCCAACAAACGCAGATGCTAAGTATTTACTGTGGACAGCAAACCCGAATATTGTCCAAGGTGTTGGAGGACCTTAATTTTTAAGCATTGTAGCCCTACGTTACTTACACAAAAACATCATATTCTTGGATAATGCAAGGCCCTCGATCTGCCGACCAGGAGCTGTCTTGAAACCATCTGCCAAAACGACGATAATCTACAAAACTGAGTGCCATTTTTGGCTCATTTTTTGTGAAAAAAGTAAGATGAGAATGCTTCAGTAGTTCATTGGCTGGGGTAAATTCAAATTTTCCACTCATCCCAAAGGTAAAATGAATACTGGTTGATTTGAGCTCCAACTGTTTTCCTGCTTTATTACTTGTAACATCCTGTGGAGCTGCAAACAAATTCAGCTTGAGTTCTTTACCTCTAGACTGAGCTCTGATTGTGTATTCTGGTTCATCCCATACAATGTCTGCAGATTTATGAACTGGATTACGTCTGATTTTACCACTGAAACTTAAGTTTTCACAAATGCGGTTGATAAACAAAGCAGACAGATACAACTCTGGACCCTCAGGCATGGTTTACTCTATCCTGCGGTTCAATCGCGAAGTAAAGGAGCAAAAGGTCTTGATTTTTCGATTCAGCACAAAGCAAGAAGTGTGATCTCTAGCAGCACTATCTCATTATAGAGAGCCATATGTGCGCTAATGTTTTGTTGGTTTCATAATCAACGCCCCTAAAGTACTTCCGCTGCAACGTTCACGAAAAGCTTCGCTCCAGTGTGTCTGGAAATTCCAAGGAGGTTAAGCCTTGGTCCTTGGGAAATTCACATTCACATTTCATACATTAATTTATTTGCATCTTTTAATTCAGGTGGCATTGGCAGTCCATTATGTACATAATGTGTCATACTGAGAATTTACAAAAATACAACTTCTTTGACTAATACTAATATGTGTCTTCCATGGTTTTTATTAGGAAGCATGTATTGAACTTTCAGACACAGCAATTAACAGATATAATATATTGCGCTTTTTATTAAACATTCATAATAACCCTCAGTACAGGTCCGGATTTAGGCATGTGCTAGGCATGCTTAAGCCCATAGGCTAAGTTTTCAAATGTAAGTTAGGCCTTCATGTAGATCAAGAAACAAATGAAGAGACTATTACCGAGGTGATTATAGAGATAATGATGATATAAGGACATGGCATCTGCACTAAATGACCAGCACTTGTCTTTTTAGATTGATAAAGGTCCGTCTAAATGCCAACAAAGTGAGGGGCCTTTTACAAATTCTAGAAAAATCTATAAAAAGCAAACCAGAGTGTGCTCAAAGAGTCTATTTATTTACTGCTACAAAAGTGAACGGAGAAACGTTACAGAGAATGGCTCCAAAAACAAGGGAAACTATAACTGCTCTGTGTGCAAATTATTCTCACGTACTGCAACATCCTCGCAACTAGGTCTGGCCTCAACTGGATTTGATGATTGGTCTCACCCTCAAGCTATAAAAAACTCATGAAAATTCACCATGTCATAATGAATTTTATGTTAACATACCTAACAAGTGACCACACGGGTTGCCTAAACCCGGGCTTACGTGGCGCCTCTTTCTGTTAGGGTCCACTGTTAGCCTTAATAATAATAATAATAATAATAATACTAATACATGTAATAATAATAATAATAATAATAATAACAAAAAAAAAACAACAATAATAATAATACATGTAATAATAATAATAATAATAATAATAATAATAATAATAATAATAATAATAATAATAATAATAATAATAATAATAATATTACTACTACTAGATCTAAGCCTTTTATTACTGTCTATTTCATTACTATTATCATTATTATTATTATTGTATTATTATTATTATTATTATTATTATTATTATTATTATTATTATTATTATTATTATTATTATTATTATTATTATTATTATTATTATTATTATTATTATTATTATTATTATTATTATTATTATTATTTAGGGCCTAATTAATTAATTGTTGTGGGGTAGGGGTACTGACCGACCTAGGAGACACCGTAGTAAAAATAAATGGTATCATAATTATTTACATCTTTCCTTTACAATGATTTTCAAGAGTAAACTCCTTTGAGTTCGTTTCCAGCAAGTAACATACGCAGAAATTGTGGTGATTTTTGGGCAAAATAAAGCCTATTCAGGCTATGCCAGAACATGTGGCTTCTCATACGATTAAAATGGAAACTGTCAAAAATCGCCGAAGGCTCACACTTTTTGTTTTTTTAAGACGGCAATCAGTTTGTAAAAAAAAATGTTGTTCACATTTTGTTTTAACCTCTTCACTGCTGAATAGACGTATAGAAAATTTTACTCAGGTGCTCTCCCAAACCGGTTCACTATCATTTTACGACTGGTTTGCTGTGAATACATGTATTTTAAAAGATGTATTTGCAACATAATATATGGGCTGCTTCTTACTCTTAATAAGGGGAACTATTTTATTACCGGTATGTGAGGCATCGTGGTGAATTCAGGCACTCATAAAAAATGAATAGACAGAAATTAACTGCATTTTTCTGGCCGTTTGACAATTTTAGAAAATTTCCTTTATTTGGCTCAACACCTTACACGTCCATTAAAAACCCATTTCTGTGTAAATTTTTCCGAAAACCGTTGATTAAAGGAGAAAAAAAAGAAGTAAATTTTCAGTTTCAAGGTCTCTCAAGCTATGGAAGTCACCAATCTTTGGCGGCCATTTTCTCGCTAATTTCACATTTGAAAACAGGCGACCCCACCTTCTTCAATCATAAATATCTCGACCTCTATTCAAGATACATGGGTATTTTATTTCAACCAAAAGGTACACAAATGAACAAGCTTTAAGATAATACCAGTAACTCCACAAGCCCCAAAATTGACGACCGCCTGATTCTACCGCGTTGTGACACTTACGGTTTTGTATAAATCTCTCTTGAACGAACTTTTATCTTGTCTGTACAAACGTAAATAACAAAGCTGAGGATTTTCAATTCAAATATGAAGTCAATCCTGCTGTATGGATGTGAGACATGGAACGCATCATAGACTTGCATAAAGAGGATCCAGGTTTTCTTGAACAAGTGTCTAAGAAAGTTGTTATTGAGGATCAGATGCACAGACAGGGTCACCATCTCTCTCTCTCTCTCTCTCTCTCTCTC